CGTCCGGTTCCGGCTCCAGCCCCGGCCCCATCTCGTCCCGCCCGGCTCCGTCCCCGTGCCCGCTCATCCTCCTATCGGTGCCGCCGCGGGTGGGAAGTGCTGGCGGAGCAGAGCTCGGGAGGATTCGTTAGCCCATTAAATCCATTGGTGTAGCTGCTGGTGCTTACTGGGAGCGCAGGATAGCTCACCCTGTCTTGGGGAAGGGGATAGAGATAGAACAGCGATGTAAAGGTGCAGAATTCGTGTGGAAATCAAGGAAAAGGCAAGTGTGTTTCACACCCCTAGAATGTTCCTGCTGTGCACAGTGCCAGTGCAGTTTGTGCTGCTACTTAGAGCTTTAAGGAGCTGTTGTATATTCCACTGCCTTCCCTGACAGTTCCCTTACGGGCAAAGCAGGTAGCCTTGGACCTAGGTAAAAAGCTCAACACAATACCAAGGTAGTTTGTTGGTTTGTAGTTCTGTTTGTGCATAACCGGGCTTGAAACACAGCTTGGTATAAAAACTGTTCTCTAAACTCAAAGTTAAGCTGGTCTTAACTTGAATAGTAATAAATGGAGCGAGTTCATCTCTGTGTATTTGCTTCTTTCAAGCTTCTATGAGGAACTCGTGTCTCATGGCATCTTGGAACCTCTGACTGCTCCAGTGGAAGGGATGGTGGTGAGAGAAGGCTCCTGCAATTATGTGGCACCTCAGGGCATCTCCTCAGTCGTCAAGTATTATTTAAATCAATCAGGTAATTTTAGATGCTTTTGTATGAAGTGAAAGGTTTTAATGATTGTGGTTTTGATGGTGCTCTTGAACTCTTTCAAATTTAAGTCTCCATGTTTAAATTCCTTGTTTATGTCCCGAAGTTGGTTAGGTGGATAAGAATGTCTGTGAACTCTGTGAATTTCCAAGTTATGCACATAAAAATCTCTACAAACAGAACATTTGTAGGCTCAGGGGCCAAGCCTATATTAACACTGTTAACTTTAGCATGTGAAACTCAGACCTAGCATGATTAGGACAAGATAATTAAGTGGGAGATCATGGTTAAGAAGAGATTTTAAGTTGCAACTGGAATGCAGTGAGTGTTTGGGTGTTTTCCCTCAGTGTGTATTTAACTCTGCTGTGTAACTGGGAGCGGAGTGATAAGCTCCATCCTGTGTTTTGGGAGCTAGAAGTGCTTGTGCAGGATGGATGTGAACCTTCTGGGTGAAGAGAAAAGGCAAAGGTGGAGCTCACCTGCTAGTTCAAACCATGCAGAACCATGTGTATAGTTCAGTTACTAATTTAATCCTAGTTTGAAAAGTGTTAGCTGTAAGACCGGCCAAATTTGGTCCTTCCATGTGATTGGTTTCCTATTTTGTTAATTAGCTGTTTTTAGGCCCTGGTCTTGCAAATAATTGGCTGTGTTCCTGTCTTTGGATGGATGAGAGTTGCTAACAGGGGCAATGATGTCTGTGGGCTCCTTTGCTGTGATTGCTTACCCAGTGTCACCTCCTGCGATCCTCAGGTTTTGCTCCTGATTAGTTCAGCTCATTAAAGCCACAGTAAACTAACTTGGCAAAGGGAGCAGCTGGTGGTTCTCCATTTCTTTACTGAGTGCAGTTACAGAGTCTTAGAATCGCACAATGGTTTGGCTTGGAGGGACCTTAAACATCATCTAGCCATGGGCAGGGACACCTCACCCTTATCAATAGTCTCTCTCCATCTTGTACGTTCCCTTCAGGTACTGGAAGGCCACAATTAGGTCACCCCAAAGCTTCTCTTCTACACCCCCAACTCTCTCAGCCTTTCCTCACAGTAGAGCTGCTCCATCCCTCTCATCAACTTGGTGTCTCCTCTGGCCTCACTCCAAAAGGTCAATCTGCATTTTCCCTGTGAAGTTAACTCCCTGTTACATGCATTTAACTCATTTTTTCCCCACACAGGTGCAGATATCTTTTATGAGCAACATGTGACTCACATCTCTCTCCGAGACGGGAGATGGGAAGTGTCCAGGAAAGTTGGCCCACCAGAACAGTTTGATGTAGTTATTCTTACGATGCCTGTCCCACAGATCCTTCAGCTGCAGGGTGACATTTTAAGTGGTAAGTTCATGCCTCAAAATCACAGGGATCTAGTCCAAAATGGCGATTGAGCATCCTGTCTAGCAAAGAAACACTCAACAGTCTGAGCTGCCTGTTAATATCCACCAGAACAGGGTGGAAGATGAGAGGAGATCAGTAAATTCAAGACCGTGTGTGATCAGTAATAACTTGACAGCAAAAACATCTATATAATGAGTCTATTTTTAACCTGATCTATAATTTTTTTGCTGACTTCTAAACCAGGACTTGTCTTTCTGTCACTTGAAAGTAGTTCCTGAATTGGACAAGACCTTCAAGTGGTGGTTTCCTTGGCACTACCTCTTTGTCCACATGTCCTGCTGATGTCCAGTGCTGCCCTTGGTATGTGTGCAGTAGGGATGTCCCAGAGAACTGAATATCAGCTGTGCTGTGGGGAAAATCCCTAGGGTGTTTCAGTGAGGCTAAAATCATATGCAGTGCAGGGGAGGAAAAAGTCCAGATGAGAACTGTTGGTCTCTAGTTGAGAAGATGAAACCTCTCAGAGCCCCTAGCTTGTTTCTGGCTACATCCTGAGGGTTTTCTTCCCCAATATGAGTAGATTCCAGTTATCCTTTGGTGGTTTATTGGGGGGAATGTGTTACGGTGCCACAGAGGCTTAGAAAGAGCAGCTCTGCTGAGAAAGAAGTATGAAGTCCAGACCTGGGCAGGTTCACCAGGTTAGGTGCATTGCCATGGTTGCAGGGAGAGGACTAGAGGGAATGGCCTTGAGCTGAGCCAGGGCAGAGTCAGAGGAGATGTGAGGAGAAATGTTTTCCCTGTGAGGGTGTTCAGGCATTGGAATAGATTGCTCAGGGAGGTGGTAGAGTCACCATCCCTGGAGGTGTTTAAGAGGTGTCTGGATCTGGTGCTGGAGGATATCGTTTAAGGGTTACAACAGTGACAGATTAAGGGTTGGACTTGCTGATCTTAGAGGTCTCCTCCAACCTTGATGGTTCTGTGATTCTATTCTTTGAATTTTGATTGATAATTGATCAAGTCTTAACTGACAGTGGATGGGGAAGGAAGTGACTTACCTATGTCCAACCTTTCTAGCTTGATTCATCTTCATTCACTTTCATTTTCAACCTTGTTTCTTTCCTTCACTTCTCATGATAAGTGAGTAAAGGTTGATATTATTAAGGTTTTAAAATTATATAATGAATCAAGGCTGAAAATGAAGTTGAATAGAGGGAAAATAGATGAAGAAGGAATGAATCAAGGTTGAAGGTGAATAGTGAGAAAATAGATGAAGAAGGAATATAGATAAAATGTAAAATAAATAGATAAAATATAAAATAGATGCAAATGAAATAGGTGTGTCAGTTGCATATTCAGCTATAGTAGAGGCACAAGTAGCACTTGTAGGAGGTGCTGGGTAAAGGATTAAGTTCTTGCAGCATGTTTAGAACAACATTAGGTGGCAGCAACCAAATGATGTTTAGGACATTGAGCTTGAATAACTGAATGAAATTGAATGAATTAACCTGATTTGGTTTGGGGCTTTCCCTGTTTTGGGAGTAAATATTGTGGTTGTGCAGAAGATAAAAGGACTAAATGTTGCTGAGGTTTGGAGTGTCAATTCTGTGTCAGGAGAGGGATAAATACACTAAAGGGATAAATATACTTCAAAATAGGATGTTTGCAAGGGAAAGGAGTAGATTTGTCATCATTCTAGAGTACTGCATATATGCTGAACTGATACATCGGTGCTGAGCTTGGAAAAATCCATGATTTAGATCCCAATTGCATAGAATTCCTAAGCAGTATAGTTCCTGTGCATCTCCAAATCAGCTTGACCAACCTTTCTCTCAGTTCTGGTTCTAGTTTAAGCCACTTGCCAGCATGGCAATTAAAGATTGCAGCAATTTGAGGTGGTTTTTATCAGTATGCTCAGAAGGTTTTTCCTTCCTTGGAATTTCCAGGACAGTTGTGCATGTTTAATCTGCTAATAAAAGGCATTGGCTTTTGTTTCCAGCCTGACCTAGTTCTTTTTCCATCTGTGTGTGCATGTCCCACATGTTTTAAATAATACAAGCTGAGGAGATATAAGTGAAATAGGAGTCTGGGGAAGCTTTATAAAGTGAATTAGGAGAGTACAACTGGTGCTTTTTCCAGTCCTGGCTGGGTGAGTGTGTTTATTTTTGGATAGAATGAGGATAAATTGGGAATTTTCTAGCTCCAGTTCCAAGCAATTTGGGCAAGGCTCATCCAGCTTGGAGCTCTCATTACCTAACAGAGCTAAAATGCCTAGTGTAAACATGTGCACTGATTTGATGGTGACTTATCAGGCCTGAGGAGCTCAGGCCACAAAGGGCAAATATTTGTTCTTGCTGCAAATACAAGGAGTTAGTGGTTTGGGGCCTTGAAAATCCTGTCACTTATTGAATATGAAAGCAGCCATGGAACACGGAAGGAGGGAAAAGCACGACTGTTTCTCTCTCCTGCTTGTAATAGGTGTAAATTGAAAGAGGGAAATTTAGATGACATATCAGGAAGGAGTTTTTCCTGTGAGGGTGCTGAGGCACTGGCACAGGTTGCCCAGGGAGGCTGTGGCTACCCCAACACTGACAGTGTGCAAAGCCAGGCTGGACAGGGCTTGGAGCAACCTGGGCTAGTGAAGGTGTCTCTGCCCATGGCAGGGGGTGGACCAAGATGGACTTGAAGGTCCTTCCAACTCAAACCATTTTCTGGAGAAGAGAAGGTTGTGTGGAGACCTCAGAGCAACCTGCCAGGATCTGAATGGGCTCCAGGGAAGCTGCAGAAGGGCTCTTGGTTAGGAACTCCAGTGATGGGATATCAAGAAGGAGTTTTTGCTCTGAGGGTAGTGAGACACTGGCACAGGTTGCCCAGGGAGGCTGTGGCTACCCCAACACTGACAGTGTGCAAAGCCAGGCTGGACAGGGCTTGGAGCAACCTGGGCTAGTGAAGGTGTCTCTGCCCATGGCAGGGGGTGGACCAAGATGGACTTGAAGGTCCTTCCAACTCAAACCCAAACATGTCAGTACTGTCTGAGGCTGTGAGGGAGAGGATTTGTGTTAGTGAAATTGGGTGATACACTCTGATGGGAGTGCAAGAGGCTAATGTTTGGTCATCAGTGCTGCAGCAGGACATGGGACACCTTCCTCTGCACTGAAATCCTCTGGTCCTGCCCGTGGGAGAGCTGTTGGTATGATGCAACCAGGCAGGACACAGCTCTCCTTAGGTATAACCTGACAGTTTGGTTGAGCTGTTCTCTGCTTGGAATCAGGTAATGGCATCCTGTCCCACCTCCCAGTGCTGGTTGCAGGGCTTTGTGCCCTCCTGATCTGACTCATTGATCCAGCAGGGAGAGATGGACATGTGTCTCTTAGAATCTTAGGATGGTAAGGGGTGGGAATGGAGCATAAGGGATCATCCAGTCCCAACCCCCTGCCCTGGGCAGGAACACCTCCCACCAGACCAGGCTGTTCAAGGCTTTGTCCAACCTGGGTTTGAACACTGCCAGGGCTGGGGCAGCCACAGCCTCCCCGGGCAACCTATGCCAGCATCACCACCCTCACAGCCAAGAATTCCTTCCCAGCATCCCACCTATCCCTGCCCTCTGGCAGTGGGAAGCCATTCCCCCTTGTCCTGTCCCTCCAGGTCCTTGTCCCAAGTCCCTTTCCAGCTCTCTTGGAGCCCCTTTAGGCACTGGAAGGGCTCTAAGATGATCTTGGAGCCTTCACTTCTCCAGGCTGAATACTCCCAGCTGTCTGTCTGTATTCAGAGCTGAGGTGCTCCAGCCCTCAGAGCATCTCTGTGGCTTCCTCTGGACCTGCTTCAGCAGCTCCACATCTTTCTTGTGTTTCTCCCAGCCCTGGACACAGTACATTTCAAACTGTGCAAACCTGAAGTGTCCCTGAAGCTTGTGCAGATCAACCGGGATTAAAAAGAAGATACCTCATCTGAACCTCCTCTCTGTCAGTATGAAGCCATTTCCCATTGTCCTGTCCCTGCAGTCCCTTGTCAATACTCTCTCTCCATCTTGTAGGCTCCTTCAGGCACTGGAAGGCCACAGTTAGGTCACCCCAAAGCTTCTCTTCTCCAGGCTGAACAATCCCAACTCTCTCAGTCTTTCATTGTAGGGAGGAGTTCCATGCCCTTGATCATCCTGGTGTCTCTCCTTTGGGAGGTTGTTTTGTCTTGCTCAAGGATTTAGATGAGCTCCTGGAGTGGTCTGACAAGCATGATACAGCAGACAGGAAGGAGAAGGTGGGATTACACACTGGGGAAGCAGAGGAATGTGTGAGGAGGAGCAGCTGCCACTGAACCCACTACGTCAGCCCAGGCAGAGCTGTGACATCGTCTCTGCTGCTGCAGCTTGGGTAGAGCTCTCTGAGGGAATGGGCTAAAAATAAAGGCTGCTGGAGCTGGAATTGCACATCAGGAAGGAAAAATGCAGAGTAGGCTTTAAGTTTTCTCAAATGTGTTTTTGGATTAGACTGCTCCTTGTCCATGGCAAGTTGGATATGAGCCAACAGTGTGTCCTGTCAGCCAGGAGGGGCATCATGTCCTGGGGGGCATCAGGCAAGGCATTGCCAGAGGGAGGGGATTGTCCTGCTCTGCTCTGTGCTGGGGCAGCCTCACCTGGAATATTGTGTGCAGTTTGGGCATCACAATGTAAGGAAGAGATTCAGTTATTGGAGAGTGTCCAAAGGAGGCAACGAAGATGGTGAAGGGCCTTGAGGGGAAGCTGGATGGAGGCAGTTGGTCTGTTCAGCCTGGAGAAGAGGAGGCTGAGGGGAGATGTCATCACTGGATACAACTTCCTCATGGAAGGAAGTGGAGAGCCAGCACTGGCTTCTTCTCTCTGGCAGCCAGTGACAGGACCTGAGGGAATGGTCTGAAGTTGTGTCAAGGGAGGTTTAGGTTGGATATTAGGACAAGGGTCTTCCCCAGATGGCGTTTGGGCACTGGAACAGCTCCCCAGGGCAGTGGTCACAGCCCCAAGCCTGACAGAGCTC